TATTTTTGGATCAGTTGTTTTTGTATTAACTAATTTTTTCTTTCTTGTGGTAATCTCTTTGGTAAGGGAGTCTCCTCAAATCCTAAACTGACTCTAAAATGAACCTTAATTTGAAATTCACTATACTGTCTATATTCCCATGTTAAATATATTGGTTGCATTTTTTTTTTTTTGGAAACCCTGTATTGGCATCATAGTTTTTGAAAATTTCCATTTATTGGGTGGATATCTATACTATTTCAACTGAATTTTCTCAAACATTGTGTTTGAATGTAGTATGGGTACAGGCAATGACATGAAAGTATATTCTAACAAGGAATGAAAGATGAGAGCTATCTTGTGCTTTCTGTGGTGCTATCTTCTTTGTCTACGGCTTTATCTTCAAACATGGTGTTTTCATCCATGCTTTGTATACTTTATATCTGAATATTTTCCAAATTTATTTCCCTCCTCAAAGTACATTGTACAATTTCCTGTTCCATAATAAGACTGCTCATTTGATGAGACGAGATTATATTCTGTATAAACACTGAATTCTTAGAATGCCTCTCTGTGCCAGGGTGAAATCACAGATATATTAATGGCCTACTTTTCCTATACCAAGAAAATTGATTTCCCCTTTGTTTCTAAGGAAAATCATTTTGAGGGTACTTGCCACTGTGATGAATGGCACTGTAAAAACACTTTCGGATGTCAGAAAGGAGAACTCTGGTTTAAAAATTGTTTAATCCATGCAGTGAAATTTTATTCCCTTAAAAATACATTGAGTTTTGGCATGACATTCCTATTCACTGTCTCCTTAACTTAATCCACACAACTGTGTATATGTACCATCTAATGCTCAACAAGCAGTAAGAAGGACACCACCAAATGGTGTCTTTAGTTGCTGATCACCTTATGCCTAGTCCTGTATTTTCTGGACTTGCCAAGTGTGCCTAGCAACTTATTTCCTGGTTTATATCATTTACTCCTCTACTGTCTAGCAGAACTCACATTTCAATGCCCGGGACTCCGAGATAAAACTGAGTGGGATGGTGAGTCTACCAAGATATTTGCTTAAGAATCTTAAAGAAGCCTACACATGAATGTGTTGGAACCAGATTTTAAGTGAACAAAGTGAAAACCTGCTTTTCTCTTGTGGTTATTTCAGGCTTTTCTATTTATAAAGTAACCTTCCCATATGGTTTCTCCATATAAATCTAAAATATTCCATATTGATAGAAGAATGATTTAAGCTTACTTTTCATGATACAGCACAGTAAAGAATTTGGCCTTAATTCTACTTGCTTTTTCAGTTTGTTTCAGCATGAAGGGACCACTGAAAATTCTAACAGAATTACTATATTATGTTCATATACACAGAAACTCTATATATGCTGTGATAGTCCTAGCACATTCTATTAATTATGGAAATCACTTTCATTTCAATAGTGGAATTTACATGACAACAGCTTCTGGGGCTCAGTGGAGCATCAGACTTGCATGTCACAGAATTCCCTTGTAGTGTGGGCGTTGACAGAGTTCTGTTGACAACAAATTTGCAAGGAAAATGTCTCATAATTGTGTATCCACATAGAACATTGCTCAGAAGGGATCGTTTCAATATTCACCTTGGTCACCAATGTCAGAGAAGGCAATTTCCTCACTCTTACCTTAGTAAACCAAATTATTAGAAATATATAGCCATAAACATACATATAAATGGCCTAAAATATTTATCTATATATTTAGCAAAGATGTCTGGATGAAGAACTATCACCCTTGTATTCTTTCTTATAACTCTATTAAGGTTTTATTTTTATAAATTTTCTATTTATTTACATGCAGACTCAAAATAGATAAGAGGATGAACTAGTCCAGAAGGGTAGGAGGAGTTAGTAATATTATAAAACAATCAGAAAAAAATAGGCTGAATATCAGAGCAGAGTTCTTAATAGGGGAGAATCATTATACTGTAAAATAGTCTAATACTCTGGAAGAAGTCATTATCTGAATCATTTAAAATTAGACTGGACTGAAGTATTCCAAAATACAATAAAACCAAGCTCACTTTACAAGTAAAAAGAGGAGGATGACCTAATTGTTTCTATCATCCCAGTGATTACCATGATTGTACTCATTTTATGTGTTCAATCTTGATAGATAATCTTCTCTCATTTTATGCTACTTTTTGAGAACAATTTAAGCAAATTCATGTAATGCAGAATTGGATGCATTTAGCAGAGACTCAAAAAAGATGTGAATGCACAATGAACTCTGTGTAAAATAGTAAAGCGAGACAACTGAGTAAACATCTACCCTTTTTTGGAAGTTAGCACTGGAGAAAACAAGTCTCACCCCATAACTCTGGCTTTATTCCAGTGTGCATAAATGTATCCTGCTCCCCTGCTTTTTCAACAGTAATTAGATATTAGTTCTCATTTATTTTGTTGAATGATTTCTTAGAGTGATATATTTTTTCTTTTGGTTATGTCGAGTGCAGGAAAACAAATGGAATATTTCATCCCCAAGCCAACAGGCTATATTTTGTTAGGAGGAAAAAAAAAAATCTCTAGAAAGAGACCACATTTCCTTTTGTGACTGATCATTTTTATGGAATGGACAAGAAAGAGAAGATGATTTAATGTAAAAAAAAGTTTGACATGAAAAAAAAAAAAAAGAGGAAAATGTACCCAGAGAAGTTGTAATATGCTGTTGTGGTGAATCTTTTTAAATAAGAATGTCTTCAATTTTGTGTGCTTCTAATTGATCACCTGTCATGGAATAGACAAGTAGGACAGGCAACCTTTTGAGAATTATCCAAATTATGTCATGTAATACATGCATTAATTTAATCTTTAATCACTTAATTTTATACTATCTTTGTAGTTAACTTAATTGCAGTAACATAAAATCAGAGATGGGCTTATTTTGATATTTGATAATTGTGAGATAAATCATCTAATTTACACTTATGTACACAAACTTTTTAAAAAGTCCACCATATACAAAAGTTCAATTAACAGAGTTTATTTTCATTATTTATAATATCCATGTAGCTTTCCACATATTTTCTTCACTTACAGATGGCATATTCCTGAAGTGCAAAAAATACCGTTCAACTTAAATAAATATCCTTTTCATTAAGTCCCACAATTTAGTTTATTTTGTGTGCTAGCATGGTTTTCTCTAATTTAAGGTGCACATTTTGTTAGTAAGGGTCTAGATTATAGAACTAGTGGCTTAATGCCAAAATTTGGTGGAGTGGCAGGGCTTATTAATATTGTAAGTTTTCTTATTCATATTTTTGTTTTTAGTCAAATGAATATAGATTTAGTCCAATAAATATAAATTTCCACTGCCTTATTTGTGAAAGTATGAATTTCAAGACTTTCTTTCCACATTTTGTATGCCAAACACCTGTGTTACTTTACACATAAATCTAGATAGCCTAGGACCTGTCTATTCAAAGTATCTGTGTATTCCTGCTGGGCAATCAGTACCTCATAGGATGGACAGCTCAAACCCACAGGTGGGGGAAATCTTTGTAAATATGATGCTGCACTTACAGAAAGGAAAATATCACTTTATTAATGCCTGATGTATAATGGTTTTCAGATCTTTTCAAATTGTATTTGAATGTTTTTGGGAAAAAAGGCACATAGCAGTACAATAGAATCATAATGACAATTGAAGTGTCCTGAATATATTTGGTAGGAATTGTTGTCCTAAGGAGTTTAGTTAGTATAATGGTAACCCATATGTTTTCAGTAATACATATTTGAAATATACTTAGGCAAACAATAGAGTTTAGGTACCAGCTTTAATATATGATCAGATAAACAAAAACAGATTTACACTTAGGTAAATGATTAATGCTCCCAAATGAATGCTTCTTTCATTTCTACCCAAAGAAACATAGCATAGCTCTACTGAACAGTTCTAGGTCCCAGCAACACAAAGAAATTCAAGCAAAGAAACTCCAAGTAATGAACTGTGCCTGGGGTGCTAAACTCATACTAATGTCAGCTCACAATAATCTCAACTTTGAATATGCCAATATGTAATTATCTCTATACATAACACAAATATATCTTTATTATTCAAACAAGAATGGACATATTTTATAAGTAAATCTGTTGAGTACTTGACTAGAGCTCTTTAAGAGTGTGTAGTTCTGTTTTCAAAATTCACAATGCTCTAAGATACTTAACAAACCATCAATCTTAAAGTATTATACCTTTGAGACTTTTTACACATTTGTTGACCCAAGGAAGAACTAGAAGCAAATTAAATGAAAATTTTAAGATCAAGCTTATTTGATATATTATTTAGTCTATTTTTGGATGGGGAATCTCCCACCCTCTTAGTTATCTCACTGTCAGATAAGAAAATGGAACAGGATGGATGAAGAGATATGCTCCCAGTCTGGCTCTTTGATTTTTCATTCAAGCCAAAAGGAGCAAAGGGCAGCAAGATAGGGCTCCTTTCCAAGCATGCTTGTGGGAGGGAGGACCTCTGACTGCCCCTGGCTGCAAAGCTTATCCCGGCAGTACCAGGTCCTGCAGACCGCTACCCACCTCGCCTGGCAACCTCCACACCCACATGAAACTGCCAGTGTGTCAGCCAGTCATCTCACGGGTTCCTGTGCACAAAGCCTAGCAAGCTCCCAAATAGAAATGAATCGTGAGCCCAGAGCAGAGCTGGAGGCGGTTGGCTTGGGAGTCTGGTGTCTCTGGGGGTCTACCAGTGCTAGTTAGTCCCTTTACCTCTTGCTCCCTGGCTGCAGATGTGTACTCTGAAATCTGCCTCCTTCCGGAGACACAGACGTGCGCGCAAACACACACATTTTCACTCACACCTACACCTCCTCTGCCCTCTACCTTTCCCATCCCCGGCATATCTATAGGGACTGGTCCGTGCTGTGCCTCTACTTTCCCAGCTGCCCCATACAACACCCAAGCTCCTGCGCCCTCGATGGGCGCCCTCCAGAGGGACACATCCTCCTCTGGGCTCCTTACCTCGCACCGACAACTCCTGGCAGGAACTGGAGCTGACCATGGTGGCAGCGGAGGTGAGCCTGCACTCGGGCTCTGGCTCATGGTTGGTCCTCTTCATCCGACACAAAAGGGGTAGCTTGCTGCCTTTGTCCTTTCCAAATCCAAGGGAGAACTTATTTTGCCCCCGAAATGGCCAACTTGTGCGTGCAGCTTCCTGTCACAGTGCCCCCTGCCCCCGCCCCCTCCTGGCTGTGCGCTGGACCATTGCCCAGCGGCAGAGCATCCAGGCCTCCAAGTCAAGGGGGAGTGGGAAAAGGGAGGGGTAGAGGAGAAAAGAGGGAGGAGGTTGGGGGAAATGGGGACCCAGTGGTCTTCTGCAGAGGGAAGGGAAGCACTTCAGAGCCCAGTTCCCCTCCTCCTCTTTACAGGCAAACCCACTTCCTAGGCGCGGAAGCAACTTTCCTTCACCTTGGACAGGCTGAAACCGTTGCAGCTAATTGGGACTCTCAGCGGAGGCATGGACCTTCTGGCATCCTTTCCTTCTCATTTTCCCCCCTTTTACTCGTTCTCTTTCTCCCTTCTCTGTCCCCTCCCCCCTTCTTCCCTCCTTTTATAGGGGTGTATCTGCAGAGTCTTCAGTGAGACAGGGTACCTAGAGAAGAGGAGGATTATAAAGAAAGCCAGGGCGGGTTTGCCGGTTGCTCTACCCCACTGGGATTGCAATCCTTAGGCAGTGCAAGCGAAGGTCGGTGAATTTCGGAGAAGTGGGGTAAAGGGGCGTGGGGCAGTAGAGTGGGCGTCGGCTCCAACTTTGAAGCTCTGCTACAGCTCTCGGCTTGCGGGTGAGCAGGGACTAACAGTCGTTCCTAGGAAGAACTCTCCTGTGGTCCCCGTGCAACTGGCTGACCGCATGCTGGAGGAGACAAGGGAAAGCAGGAGCGAGTGAGCCAGGGAGGCGGGTGCGCAGCTCTGCCCCACACGCGGCTTAACTGCACATTGGGAGCCCCGGGAGAGGGCTTTTGCAGAACAATCCCTGGGTCAGGAGGGAGGGAGACGCTCCGGTTTCCTAGCAACTCTCATCAATCTTCTCCGGATAGCTCCCTCTGAAGGAATTCGATTGGACAACCCCAGGAGAGAAGTCACGCCCCTTCAAGAATGCTGGGCTGCTGCTTTTTCTCATTCTCCCAAATTTCTTGGGCGGAATAAGATTCTAGAGGAGTGTGGAATTATCTTCTTTTTTCTGCTACTGTGCAAACCACACTGCTCCCTTGCAGCTACCCCCTACACTCCCAGATTAGTCCTGTAGTCCTACTTGTGATTAAAATTGTCAGGGTTTTGTACAGAACCTCTTCTTTCTTCTTAAAATTAAATAAATAAAAACCCTAAATCGGTGACGTAGGCACAAAAGAGAAAAAGGCACACGGAAATAGCCTTAATAGGCTGCAAGCTACAGATAAAATCCTAAAGGTAAAATTCCAGACATCCATTCTGCATTTAGAAATGCATTGTTTAATTTCAAAATAAAACTTCACTAATTTTTCCACCCTAATATACCAACTTTGAATTAATCAAGAACTGAGTTATATGAAGCCAGCCACAATTGAAATTAATGCTTAGATCTTCATTTATTCTTTAATGTTAAGTTGTTTAACTCCTGTCTTTTGTAACCTAACTAGAACATTTAAACTACAGAAATAATTGAACAACAATTCTTTTAGAAGGCCAGTGATATTTAGAAGACAAACGTACATATGTATTTCATTTTAAATTTCACTAAACCAAGAAATTTAGGTATTTAAATAGTTAGCATTTTTTATTATATAGCAAAATGCTAGAAGTGCCTCTTCAAGACCTTTTTAGAATGCAATGGAATCACCATAATACAAAGAAAAGTGACTCTTTCTTCATATTTTATTACTACTATCTAACATATACAGTTCAGCACAAACACATTAGGTCTTTGAGAGACAATGTCTGTCCAATGGAAAACTGAGTATCAAGGAGCAATGACAGAAATAATGAGGAAGATAAAGTCTTGGGCACTGCAAAGATCTTCATATACTCAAAAAGCCACACTGGCAGATGTTGATCTCTTTCAGAATGTGCCAGAAGATATCATCATGCATTTCTAAGACCTTATCAGAATCACTTGAGATTGATAAAAGTAGAAGAGTTCTGGTATTTGCATCACATTAAAAAAGAAATGTAGGTGTTTGTGCAAAGAGTTTCTGATATCTGGCATAGTCTGTATGTAGACACTTAATATATCAATGCTTGTAATGTGTAGTGACTGAAATACTGAAGCAATTACCTGTTTGTTATCAGAGCTGGTCTTATGGGATACTTCTTGCCTTTCCCCATTCTGATGAACCAAAATGCCATTCTGCTTGATGTAAACACATTGCCTGAATTTGAATCTGGAATTCTCATCACTTCATAGCTGTGTAACCTTTGGACTAGTTTCTTAAACTGTGTTTTTAATCATCTATAAAATGTACTAATTGTTTATACTTCAGTTGTTTATCTTAATGAATAGTAGATCCATGTAAGCAGCATATAAATATTAATTACTATTACTAGTTTCTTGTTTATAGTTAGCTAATGGCATTTTATCATCAAACATATAGAATATTTATTGGAAGGTAATTCACCTTGAACTTCTTCCTTAATAAATTAAATACATCATTGACCATAAATATAGCTTAGCTTTTAGCATTTATTTGTTGGTGTGTATTTTCAAGTTGCTTTACAAAAGCTTCAAGGAATCAGGCTAAATAATGGCTGACTAAATGACACACCAATTAAGAAATTACATTTTTTCTGTCCCCTCACCCTCCCCAAGTGTTCTAGCTGGGCTCCATTTCTAACAATTCTAGTTTCCCTTTTTAAGTACCTCTGGTGTAGCATCTTTTTTTTTTTTATTGGTTGTTCAAAACATTACAAAACTCTTGACATATCATATTTCATACATTATCTTTATCAAAACCAAATCTTGGGCTGGGGTTGTGGCTTAGTAGTAGTGTGCCTGCCTGGTATGTGTGAGACACTGGATTCAATCCTCAGCACCACATAAAAAATAAATAAATAAAGTATTGTGCCCATCTATAATTTTAAAAAAAAGTTAATTAAAAAAAACTCCAATTTTTTGCAAGTAAAATGGATGTGTGTTTAGCATCTGGATTACTTTCTAGTTAATACTGTTTTACTAGTTTAAACTTTAATTCATTTATATTTGTCCAAATGATTAATCATGATATTTGTATTAGAGCACTTTATAGTGAACACACTGATTTTTGATTTTTTGCTTTAAAAATATGGCCTACAAAGTATATACCATCTTTCATCAGAAAGTAACCTGGAAACTGATGTACTATCATCATTAATTACCCTTAAAATACTTTCCTTATGCTGATCACTAGCATTCTCTTCAGAGCAAATTTCTTTTTCAATTCAGAAATCAATTTCATTGCTGGTTTTTACTACTATTGAGGATTATACAATTATTTTGATCATATACCATCTTATACAGAACAGTTCTGGTTTATGCCTACTATTTGAGTGTATTCAGAGACCTCACTTTATTTATCAAAAGTGTCAGGTTTGGGCATTAAATCATATAGCTCCTCCAACCTTCTAAGTATCTGACCATACAATATCTCTTGACTCAGTCTTTGCTTGCTTTGTTTGCCCTGTGACTCTTAAATTTATTTGTATAACTTTTCCAGGATAGGACTGATCAATTATGGAAGTTTATTACATATATCTTTGTAAATTATAGTATACTTATAAAATTTCTTTAATTTGCTTGTAAGCATTCCTCACTTATTCATTTTTTTTTGATACGAGGAATTGAACCGAGGGGCATTTAACCACTGAGGTATATCCCCATCCTTTTAATATTTTTTTTATTTTGAAATGGGGTCTTGCTAAGAGGCATGGCATCTTGATAAGTTGTTCAGGCTGGCCTTGAGCTTGAGATCCTCCTGCCTCAGTCTCCTAAGCTGTGGGGTTAGAGGCATGTGCCACCACACCCAACTATTTTTAAATAGAAGAAAGATCAGTGGAGTAGACAAAGGGGAATGAATGGAATAGGGAAAGGCAGTGGGATGAATGTGAATGTACGTATGTGAATATACCACAGTGAATCTCAACATCGTGTACATTTAAAACACACTAAAAAAAAAGTAAGTAGCAGAAAGATCAGTAGACCATAGGGAAGAAAGAGGGAGGAGGGGAGGAAAAGGAGATTTACTGGGGACTGAATTAGAGTAAATTATATTCCATGCTTTTAGAATTATGTCAAAATGAATCCTACTGTTATGTATAATTAGAACCAATAAAAGTTTCCTGTTTTTGTCTATAAATTCTGATTTTAATTATTGTTACACAATATTAAAAAAAATATCCTAGCCTTGGTTTTGACTAAAGCTCCAAGAAAAAGAGGTGCCAACATCCATATTTCAAAGTTTCAGACCACTTATATTGAATTTGAGTTGGGGTATTTTTAAACCATGTGGAATGTAAGAGTCACAGTAGAACAAGTAGAGAGGGGAAGGACACTGAAGTATGGAGAATTTTCTATATGCTCTAATGGGGCAGATACAGACTAGAATGAATGTGCTGCTGCTATAGGGGAAATTATCCCTGTGTTGCCCTGGAATTAGGGGATGTAGTGGGCTGCTTTTTAATTCACAACAGAGAAAACAAAGTGTTGCCTAGTTTGCCACTCAGAGGCCCGAGGGAAGAGGCTTTTGACAGGTAAATGGGAGGGTTTCTTTTACACTTCTTGTGGAGAGAGTAAGCGTGGAGAAGGAGACACATTTTCTTAGCTCCTACCTGGAAGGGATTAATGAGAATCTGTGGATTCCGTAGATGTCTCTGGAGGGTACAGGGCTGTGGTAGTGGAACCTGGAGGTTGTTCTCTGCACAAAGGTGCCTGGCTATCAGAGAAGTAAAGGAGAGCTATTCTTCTGTGGAGTGGTATCAACCTGGGGGAGGGCATCTGTTTGTACTCCATCAATCTGGTGCGATGGCTTTTTAAAAAAATTCACATAATTGATGGTAAGAGAAGCCTGAAGGTGAAGTGGGGAGGGCAGTAGTAAGTCACCAGTCATGAATGCTTCATCAGAATTGGGTCATATTCTGCAGTGAGAGATCCCAGGAGCCTGAGGGTCTGCAGAGGATGGACTAAATTGGCATCTGCAAAGTCAGTGTTGAAAACTGCTCAGCCCAGGGAAAAGCAATGCTAGAGCAGTACTGGACAAATGAGAGTTTCTTTGTCCCTTCATACTTGGTCTTTGACCTCTGCTACTAAGAGTTCAAAAGTTCCAGCCTATGATTTAAGGTAAAGAGGGAATGAGGACAGATGAGACTGTTGGCTCCAATTGTGGGCTTCCCTCCTGATGCTCCCCAGGTTGAGTGAGGGGCACAGCATCAGCTCTGAGGGATGTTTTGAGTTTCGGTTATTATTCTGCCTTAGATCTAGTTCCTCCTGTGTCTGTAATGTATTTATTTTTACTGAAGTGTGAAGAGTGAAGGGAAGGGGCGCTGGGGCTGGGGCTCAGTGGTAGAGCACTTGCCTAGCACACGTGAGGCACTGGGTTCGATCCTAAGCACCACATAAAAATAAAATAATAATAAAATAAAGATATAGTGTCCACCTATAACTAAAAAAATAAATTAAAAAAAAACAGTGAAGGGAAGAATTTTTATCCTGGAATAGTTTGAAAGTCAAGGTGCTGGCCTTGAATACATCCAAGGGGATAGAGAAGAACTAGCAAAATAGGTAAGATATGCAGGGCCAATGGTGTTTTTGTGGTGCTTTGAGCTTTATTTGGACATTTTTTTTTTTTTTTGGACCAGGGATTGAACCCAGTAAATTATTTCTTCATTTTGAGATAGGATTTTGCTAAGTTGCTTAGGGTCTTGCTAAGTTGCTTTGGCTCTTGCTAAGTTGCTGAACCCTGAGGCTGGCTTTGAACTTACAATCCTTCTGC